AGCACTGGCCCTGGGACATTGGTCCCAAGACATTGGGACACTGGTCTCAAGATGGTGACTGGGGCATCTGTCAAGGGGCAGGGCTACTCATGCGACTCTTGACAACTTGCCAAAACTGGGTAAGCGGCCCTCCGAAATAATTGCCCATCCCTGTTATAGTGCCACATGTTTTAACCTGCCATTCAACTCAAGCACAAATCTGAGGTGTTAACAGTTGGAACTATTTAGATCTGCAAAAGATCTGTACAAAGTGCACTGGTGACAGCAAAATTCCTCCTGAAGACAAGGAAGTCAGCAATCTAACTGAGTGAAATATGGTCTTCAGGCTTCTGTGACAGTTGTACAGTAGGGGTTCATAACCCTGGGCATTTTTACATGTGCACCCGACGCAGCGCCGGGAGCTTTTAATTAGCAAGCCATGCTAATTAAAAGCACCCAGCGCTGTGTTGGCAATACATGCATCAGCAGCGCAGTGCACCCGTGCTGAGAAAATGGCAGTGGTGCACTTTGAACTAAAACACAGTGAATGTGTTTTATTTCAAAGAAAGCCACCACCATTTTCTTAGCATGGAGACGCACTGTGCCACTGACACACGTGACGCGCGAGGCTGCCAGACAGCATCAATTTACGTGTTCCAGCAGACTCAATTAACTGAGTCTGCTCCGACATGCTGGATTTCGAGCACTTTGAAGCAGGCTCCCCACATGTGTGTAAGTGCCCTCAATGGCCAGATTTTCAGCTGCTACAAATCAATGCAACTTTGTCTTCAGCTGTGCTGATTTGCACACAGAGACTATGTGGCTGTAGGAGTCTTGTAGTTCTCTCTCCCTCTGAGTTCTGTGTTCTTAGATTCATGGAACTAAAGGACCCAAACTTTACAAGTGCTGCTCTATGACAGTCTGTTGAGGAGACCGCTTCATAACAATAGATGCGGAGCAATTCACAGACTATGCCAAGTACTCAGCCTAGTAATGGAACACTGCTGAATACAACGTTTTGCTGCAGTTGTAAAAGCTAATCACATTCCACAGAATGAGGATCTCAGAAGAACTGCAAGGAACAGGAATTTATACTAAAATTATAAAAACAAATATTCAGTAATATTCACCCATCTTACCTTTTTAAGTCCCCAAAACAGAGCATTTTTCTCCAATTCAAATTCTCTGTCAAGTTCTTCTTCATACTCTGCCAGGAATAACAAATACCTCCATTAATAACAGAAACTAGAGTCAGCCGGCTGGCTCAGTTTGTTTTTAAACAGTATTACATTGCATTATAAACACCGTACCTATGACAGGAGACATCTACGCAGGAGGAATTCTGCAAGGGTGAGAGCCAAGCAAAGATAAAAAAGATGGACTTTCCGTAGCTACTACTGCCCTCCTTGAACTTTCATTACCATAATTTTTAGCCAATGGATGCACGCTACTATGAACCAATAACAATGTCCTTTCCTCAGGCCTTCACTTCATGCTG